AATAGTCCATTCCCATGGAGCGCCCAGGTGGCTGGAGCCGAGGTCACTGTCCCCTCTGGAGGCGGCTAAGTGGGATAGAGTGTTTCAGAACAGGGTCACAGGGCTGTGCCTGCCCCACACACTGTGCCGGCCCGGGCCCTAGGAGTGCACTCAGGCCGGGTTGAGGGGCCACACAGAATCAAGGCCTGGCCGGGCCCTCAGTCCCCAGAGAGAGAGTGCAGATCACACAGAACTGCCCCACCTGCTGAGCCCAGCGTGCTGGTACCCTGGGGAGGGGAGGGGACCTGATAGGGACTTGCTGGAGTAGACATGGCATCAGCCAGCAGGGTGCAGAGGTCTGGCCTGGGCACCAGCAGAGGCACAGGGACCTGAACACAGTGGTGGGCAGTGGGGAGCAGCTGGCCCTCACCTTGGCATCTGGAGACGAAGAAGGGGCAGGGAGGTGGCTGGCCCCACCCAGAACCTCAGTCCCTGAACAAGAGCCACCCAGCCGGGCCTGTTTGAGGCCCTGGGAGCCCAGCAAGGCGGCAGTGTTGGCCAGGCTGGGCAGGGGCTGAGCTTGGTCACCCTCTGCCCTGTGCCAGTGCCTCTCCCTCTCCAGAAACCCCCATCCACAGCCACCCACTCGAGGTCAGTGGGTCACTCGGACAGGGCCCCACCCAGCACCCTGAACTCCTCATGGGTCCTGGTGTGTTTACCCGCCTGCCCAATGTGCCAGCCCACAGGGAGACTGCAGCTCCTGGACATGCTGCCACCTTCTCCACAGGTGGCTGCCCTGTCCCCTGGAAAGAGGAGCCTGGAGGAGAGCAGAGGACAGAATGGGACAGAGCTGGTGGCATCAGCCCGGATAGAGAAGGTGGAGCCAGGTGGAGGCTCACAGGAATGTCCAGGACAGGTGGACAGAAGGGAGAACAGCCAGAGAGTGCAGGGAATGGGGAGCCCTGAGTTACTGCAGGCTCCTGGCCCCGGCCACCCCCAAGCAGACCAAGCCTGGCAGGTCACCGGAATGAAGAAGTCAGTGGTCAGGGATGGGGCAGCAGCCACTGCAGAGGGCATGGGGCTTGGTAGGGTCAGGAGCTCCCCTGGGTGCAGCTCACGTTCAGTGCCACCAAGCACCTCAGGGCAGGGACCAGGCCATGGGGACAGCAGGATCCCCAGGTGGCCCTGACAACAAGCTCCCTGGGGCAGTGTGCCCTCCGTCCCCACTGGGATGTCCCAGGGCCTGGCCCCTGGCCCCACACTGCCCTGTCCACAGCCCAGGAGAGAAACCGAGTCGCAGAAGCCCAGCCCCTCACCAAGACAGCGGGGACGGTGGGGGGCAGCCTGAGGCCCCGCCCCTTGTCTCCCCCATTCCCCACCCGAGCTCAATGCCCCTCCTCAGCCTTTCTCTGGCAGCTTTCAAAACTGTCCCAATTTTGGGGTGGAGAATGAGGTCAAGAGACCCAAGGAGACACAGCTCTGGTGACAAGTGGCTTCTTTGATTCACCTTGAAATTCCTTCCTGGTCTAAGAAGTGAATCCCAAGCCTAGCCACTCTGGGTGACTGGGAGAATAGGAAGGAATGAACCAAGGGCTTGTGGTCACCTACCCGCCAGCCCACTGGGTGCATGGGCAGGACTGGGACAATAGATATACGGATCCATGTGGCTTTTTTTTTTTTTTTGAGGCCTCTATGGGGTTGAGCCCAAGGCCTTCAAACAGAGTTACTTCCCCAGCCCTTCAGTCATTATCAGGCTGCCTGCCCTCGGGCTCCTGCAATCCTCCCATGTGGGCCTCCCGGGGAAACTACACCTGGCCCAAAATAGTCTACAGTTACCAGTGAAGACAAGAAGAAAACCAAATGCTGTCTGAGGCGGTACCTTAACTTCCTCCACACATGCACTTTCCCAAGGCCCAGGGTAAAAGTTCCAGTTCAGGCTGCTCTGCCCCTGGGGATTCACACGTCTTTGAGGGGCACAGTGATGTGAGGGACACTGGACCGGGACGCTGGCCGAGAGTCCCCATCTCATCGCTAGCCAAGGATGCCCTTGCAGGTACAAGGGTGACACCTCTATCCTGGACCCGGCCCACTCCAAAGCTGTGTCTCCAATGGGCCACACAGGTGGAGGATGGGGACAGTGGTCCAGAGTACGGCTGGTCCCTGTGCCCCGTTAACTCCTCACAGGACAGGAGGTATCTGGGAGGAGCCCGAGTCCTGGGTCCCAGGGTACCTGGCAGGGCTCACTGGCAGTCGCTGGTATTATCTTCCTGGAAGAATTCTGTGTGGCTTGGTCCCAACCTGGGAATTTCTGGAGGGAGGTGATGCTGAAGGGACTTTTTAAAAAAGTGTAGTCTCCAAGCCAGAGCCCGTTCCAAGGAGGCAGTGCCATAACTGGGCTCCACTAGGCACTGGCCCCTGCCAGGGACTTAAAAGCCACACGGCGATCAATTGGGTGATGGGGTGGCAGCCGGATGAGCCCCATGTGCCAGCCAGCAGGGCCAGGGTGGTGACAAAGGGCACCGTGGCACTTTCCTCGTTGGCCAAGCTTTAGAAATCCTTCCACCCCACCTCGCCCCCACAGATGGGCTTTGCTGTCCCAAGGGAGGGGACAGGAGGGACGCTTGGGCTCCCCTGAGCTCTATCTAGGCGCCTGGCACTGCGCTCAGCAGGCCCGCTCCTCTTAGCCTAGTCTCCTCTCCTTACCCCCTCGCCGCAAGGAAGCAGGTGACCCAGAGGGTCAGGTGAGGGAGCTAGCCCAGGCACCCTCTTTCCCGGAAGCGAGAAGAAGCCGGCACTGAAGAAGAGGAGAGATTGAGGGAGGACAAGAGGGGGAACTCGTACCCTGAGGGCAGTGGGGACACGGGATGGGGGCTGCCAGTGGCCACAGGAGCGGCCACCTTCTGTCTGAAGGCCTTCGATGACCTCCAGGAGGCCTCTGGGGCCCCAGGCAGAGCTGCCCCGCTCTGCCAAGAGCTGTCCCCAGGGTGCAGAGGCCGCTGTCCAATGCAACCTCCACATCCAAGCCTTGGCCCCAGACACGCCTCTCCAGCGTGCTCCCCTCGGGGTCTGGGCGGGGAAACTCCCTCCCCCACCCCACCACGGAGAGCGCATGCACCCCCAGTCTGTAACAGGTTCCCCAGCGCCAGACCACACACCTCAGAGTCCAGTGTGGTAAGTGGGGTGCAGGTGTCAGGCCCGTACCTCCCGTCTGCAGAGCAGCACCCAAGGGGACCTCTGCTCACCGTCTCAGTCACCCCTTTCCTTGAGCCCCTCGGAGTACATCCAAAGGCCCAACGGGCACCTCTGCCCGCCTCGGATACCCAGTGTCCATGTGAAAGTCCCCACGGTCTTAGGGGACCTGGGCAGATGGCACCCCGGGCCGGCACGATGGGGGACACCCCGAGTCGTAGTCTTACCTGCAGGGACAGGCAGCGCGCCGCGGCCACCTGCACTCGCAGGGCTCCGAAAGCCGCGCCGGCGACACCCGGCAGGCAGGGGGCGGGGCCTGGGCGGGGCCTGGGCGGAGTGGGCGGGGCTGCCCGGCTTGACCAGACTGCACGGGAAGCTTCCGAGCCTCTGTGCCTAGGTGGGCCTGAGCTGGGTCCTCAGGGCCCTTCCCCAGATTCAGGAAGTGCAGAGACCTGGCCTGAGCCATAGCCCAGCTCTTGGAAACCCACCCAGCCGGGGGTGGTGCCTCATACCTGTAGTCCCAGGACTGAGGAGGCTGAGGCAGGAGAATCACAAATTTGAACCCAGCCTGGACAACTTAGTCAGACCCTCAAATAACAAGAAGTCTGGGGATGTAGCTCAGTCTGAAAGCCAGGGTGCAATCCCCAGTACCAATCAATCAATCGATCAGTGCAGGCTCCCCATCCCAGAGTCAGCCGCATGGGAACTTAGGGTGCTTGGGTGGCTTACAGGCCCAGGGCGCCCCCCCCACTGAACCATCTGTGGTCCCTCAGCTGTTACTGTTTAGCCCTGGAATGACAGGCACCCGGACTCCGTGAGCCCAGCCACATTTGAGGCCAGGGAGCTTAGCACCAGGCACTCCCGCCCTTCGGCTGCCCAGAGTCACTAATTTTATTGACTTGTGACAGGCACGTAGCAGCCGCTGAGAAGACATGACAACTTGGGTGCCACGGGAAGCAGGTGGGGTGCAGTGGCCCAGGAGATGGGGGAGGGGGCAGAGATGGGGGAGGGGAGGGTAGAAGGGGGTCCCCACAGAGAGCAAGAAAGCAGCTGGGGACAGAGCCTGCACTTGGGGGTACACAGGGTGGGGTCTCAGCCCACAATCACAAAAGAGCAGACACATCACTGACACCCACTGGAGGATGGGAAGAGGAGAGGGACCAGAGAGGTGGGACGGTCATCCTCTGCACCCTATCCAGCTCCCCCCCCCCTTGACGTGAAGGTGACTCCAGTCCTCTGAGCCTCTCACTGCAGAAATAGCCCTTTCCCTGAAGAATCGACCTACATCTACAGCTAGCCTTATTAAAATGAGGCCGGAAATGAGGCCTTTGTAATTCTCCCTGCCCCCTTCCCATCTACGCCCACCCCTCCAGCCCTGTGTCTCTCCACTCATCCCCACCCAGGGAGATGGCCTGGCACAGACCGAAGGCCTGAACGGGTCTTCGGAACTCGGGCTCCTGTTCCAGCTCATGCAACCCACCCGCAAAAGCTATGCTATGGAGCAGGGCCCAGGTCTTCTGTCTGGACTCTCTCAATGCTTCCTCTCAAGGAGGCAACAGACACCCACGACACCGGAGTGTCCAGTGCCACACAATATGTGCAGCCTGCTTCCTGTCAATTATGCCTCAACAAAGCGTGGTTGCAAATACCATACATCACCAGGCATGGTTATACACCCCTGTGATCCCAGCGCTAAGGAGGCTGAGGCAGGAGGATCACCTAAGTTCGAGGCCAGCCAGGGCTACCTAGTGAGTCCAAGGCCAGCTTGAACTGTATAGTGAGACTTGGTTTCAAAAAACCCAAAACTAAACAAAAACAAAATCCCACACAAGTTCGACCCCCATTTCCCACTTCTTTTTAATTTTGGAGGCGCCGTAAGAACCAGAAGCGGCCTTGGCAGGGAGGGGGTTGGGATGCTGCTGGTACTGTAGCTCCTCCTGCCCCCACCCCCAGGCTCTGTCCAGTCCCTAAGTGAGCGCACGCGCGCAGCCAGCGGCCAGCGGCAGCGCTGCAGCCCCTCCAGCTGCCTTGCCATGCAGGACCCAGAGTCAGCCCGGGTCCAGAAGGAGCAGGTCGGGCCGCGGACTCTGCTGCCCCCTGCAGGCCGAACCGGGCACCGCAGCGACCGGCTGTCAGTTCAGGGAGAGGTCGGCCAGGTTCTGGGCGCAGTGCTGCACGAAGTCGAAGTCGTCCACCGGGAAGGGCACGCGCGACCACTTCTTGACCTGGATCCGCCTCTGCGGGGTCTCCAGGAGCAGGCTGCGGACCTTGAGCACCGGCAGTGTCACTGACTTGTAGATCATCTGTAGTCCCCAGCTCTGGGTGGGGCAGAGAGGACAGCGTCTGGGGCCCGGGTCCCTGTATCCCACGGCAGTCTCCTTGGCAGGGCTCCCGACCGGAGTGGGGCTCCCCGGGAGCAGTGGCCTGCACACACCTCCCCACAGTTGCGGCAGCTAATGGCGCCCCCTGGCTTCCAGTCCTTGAAGACTCTGTCGATTACCACGGGCTCCCGGGACACAGTGTAATAGATCCTGGGGGGAAAACGGTGGCTACAGACCCCATGGGCCCTGGGCCCAGGCCTTGCACCCTGTAGCCAGCAAAGCCTCCCCTTGCTGCCCACCAAGGGGCACTGTCGTCCTGGAGCCAAGCTGAACCCCCATCTCCAGGGTGCAGCAACCTCTCCCACCGAATGCCCCGAATGTCCACCCACTGGCGGCTCTGGTGGGTTGCATTGTGGGAACGGCCCAGGGCTGCTCAACTTCAGGACCCTGCAGGGCTCCCCTGTCTGCAGTCTGCATTCCCCACCCAACCCTGCCACGCCCCCTTGTCCAACCTGTGACATCTTCTACTCATCTTCTCGGAGCCAAGTGCTGCTCCCCCCCCCCCATGCAGGAAGTGGGACAGGACCTTGGCATGTAGGCCCCTAATAAATGCTCCCAACTCCACAGGAGTTGGCTGGAGCAACACTACTCTCCAGGGGACCACGGGTGGGTGGGACATGGCTTTCAGAGTCAGTCATGCTATATTGCCTAAGTGGACCTTGAATTCCTGGGTTCAAGCCACTGTCCTGTCTTAGACTCCTATGAAGCCAGAACTGCGTGTACCCCCATGTGGGACAGCACCAAGCATTTGACACCCTGGGCTCCAGTTCCTGCTGCGTGGCACAGTGGCTCTGGGAACACAGGCAGGTCACTGGTTCCTCTGTTGTTGAACAGGGCAGGGATAAAACTCATGTCACCAGGTGCAGCTTGTCATCTCCCCTGACCCCGCAAAGGCTCCAAGCATCCTCCCACTCCGCCTCCCTCTCCTGATAGCCCTCTCAGCAGGCTCACGAGAAGGTTGGGTTCACGTTGACATGGTGGGTGCCTTCCACCTTCCGCAGGTCGCTGCCGTGACCCACGGCCACCATGCAGTTGATGCAGAGGAGCTGCACGCACTCGGCAGGGAACTGTTGCCGCTGTCTGTCCTTCTGAGAGGCCCGGGCAGCACGCTTGACCACGGCTGCAAGCTGTAGATCCCGGATCTGGGGGTCACGGAGGGAATGCAGTTAGAGTCCTGCCGAGCACAGCACCCAGTTGTGACCCCACCTGCTGCCAACCTTGGCCTGGTACTCGGCAGGGTCCATCCTCTGCACGGTGGCCACTGCCTGCTCCATCAGGGTCTCCAGCCTCTCATTGGTCAATTCACGCCGCAGCTCCCGGCTGCCCTCCGTGGCCACAAATGAGTACACACTCTGGCTGGCCCGTGCACGGCCCCGAGCCTGCAGGGAAGAAGACCTGTCCAGATAGGAGCAGGGCTGGGGTGCCAGCTCCCCTGAAGCTGCTGGGGGCTGGGCAGGGCACAAGGGCTGAGCACCTGGACCATAGAGATCTCGTTGGTCAGCAACCCGTAGCGCACCACCACGCTGCACTTGGCAATGTCCAGCCCCTCCTCCGCCACGCTTGTGGCCACCAGAAGATTCAGGCTGCCCATGCGGAACTTCTGGATCACTTCCTGCTGGTTCCTCTGTTGGGATACAGGCAGCCCTCCACCTTAGCTGGGGACTCAGCTCGCACCCTCACCACAGAGAGTCTCCCTGCACCCTGCCAGGGTGTACCCCTGCCGGTCCCCAGACCCTCACCTGGGTCATGTGTGCGCTCTGGCTGCTGTTCCCCGCCCCAATCAGCATCTGGGCCCTGATGTCCACTAGCTGCAGGCTCGGCTGCTGCTGGAGCCAGAGCAGCAGGGACTGGGTGCTCTGGCGAGTTCGGGTGAAGATGATGCCCCGGGGGTTGGCGGGGTCCTTGAATTTCACCCGCAGAATCTGCTCTAGTGTTTCCAGTTTCGGGTTCTCAGGGCCATGTGTCGCCAACTGGGTTAGTTCGTCCTTGTGGTCTGTGAGGACCCCAGAGGTTGGTTTAGCCCAATGCCTTTGTTCTGAGCTACATCTGAGACTCTTAACGTTTTCCTGTTTTGAAACAGGGCCTCCAGGGGCCAGGGATTTAGCTTAGTGGCAAGTGTGAGGTTGTAAGCTTGATTCCTGATACAAAAAAAGTCTTCTTAGAGTAGGTAAACTGCCCAAGCTGGGTTTGAATTTGCGATCCTCCTGCCTCAGCCTCCAGAACAAAAAGATGACACGTATGTGCCAGCATGATTGGCAACCCAGTTTTGGATTTTTGAGGACCATTCCAACTAAACAGTTTAAACAAATATCTGCCAAAAACACTTTTAAAAATTCTGTCAATAAGGTAAACTTGTGCACACCTTCACAGATGAGGAAATGACCCTGTCAATAGCCATGGCTGTGGATTTGGGCTTGAAAAACTGGGTTCTCCCCACGGCCCCTTCTCAGGCTCCTCACCGTCGAACAGGTCTAGCAGCCAGCGCTCAGCGCGCAGGATCTGACTCTTTGTGTTGCGCTCCCGGTTGTAGAAGTCCTGCAGCGAGGCCAGCGCGTCCACGGCGCGCACTGTGTCGTGGATGAGCAGCGCATCATTGTAACGGCGCAGGTGAAGGGCAAGGACTCGGCGTTGCTGGAGCCCTGCCTCCGCGGCTGTGAACAGGGCCAGCGTCGGGGTGGGGGCGAAAGGAGGCCCCGCCCACAGGTCAGGACTGCTGGAGCTCCAACCCCCAGCGGCCAGCCCCGCCCCTTGAACGACCAGGTTCCCCCCCAGTCCCGCCCTTGAGTGGCCAGTCCTAGTCTTGGTCCTGTCTCTCACCTGTCTTGGACAGCTGAACCACCTGCTGCTCATACATCTGCGTCCCAAAGTCTTGGGTCAAGTCGGGCATTTCTGGATGGTTGTGGATCTGAGCCATAAGCTTCTTTATCAAGTCCCCAAATGGGTCCTGGGCAAGAGAGTGGATGAGGCGGAGCCCTGGGTGTAGCAGAGACCGGGTCCTGGTCTCGCCCCATGTGCTCTGTTCATACAGGGCACAGGCCAGCGCTCCTGCTGCAGGACAGAGCTCAATACACCCCGGGAGCAGCCCAGGCTTGTGCCAAGGGCCTGACTAATGTCCATTGTGCCACCTGGGACATAATGGAGACACAGGCCCAACACACAAGCCAGGGACCTGCCCTGTCCAGCTGGCGGGGTGCAGGCAGCACAGCTCCCCCACACCTCCCCTCACACCTGGCTGCGCTGCTGGCACAAGTCGTACTGCTTGCAGGGCTCAGGACGGTGCTCCAGCAGTGCTGGGCGGTGGATCTTGGGCGACATGATGCGCCACGCATCCAGGTTGGCACAGAGCTGCAGGAGACAGGAAGGGCCTTGCTGGGAAGGGGCAGTGGGCAGGACTTCAGGGTGGTGGGTCCCAGTGGGGGACTGCAGAGCCTGAAGCAGGCTTGCTGAGCAGGGGCAGGGTTAGCACAGCTTAGGAGCCTGTCTCACACTGAAGAAGGCTGGGCTGGAGCTCCCCGAAGGCCCTGGGCTTAGGCCCCAGCTTCATGAAAGTAAACGAGTAAAATGGAAGGACAGCCAGCAGGTTCTCAACAAGCACGGGGCAGTGGAGGATGGCACAGAAATGAGGCTGGGGAGCTAGTTCCAGGCACAGTAGGGGTAGGGAGGCCTGGGGGTCAGGAGGCCCTGGCAGGAGACCCTGACCAGGCTGGGGCAGGAGGGTCCCAGGGCCCAGCGGACCTGCAGGATGTGACTGATGGCCCCCTCGAGCTTGGAGTTCCCGCCGGTGCCTGGTGAGGCCGTGAGACCCAGCACCTGCGGCAGGCGCCGCGGGCTCTGCAGCTTGTGCTCCAGGTACTGGCTCAAGATGACGTTGTAGACGGTGTCCTTGTGCGTGTGGTGACACTCATCCACCACAATGAGGGAGAAGGCTGGGGCCGGGGGGTGGGGGGGGAAGCCAGGATCTAGGTCACATGTGGGGCCTTTCCTTCTGTTACTCCTGCCCTGGGGTCCTGCCATGTCAGACCTCCACAACCCCAGAGAAGGAGGGCCAGGTGGGGGATTTGGGACCAAATGATGGAGGAGTACACTGAGGCTCGCTTCAGGAAGGGACCCGCCCCAGGTCTCCCTGCAGCACTCTGCCTGGCCCCAAACGCCCTGGCTGGGGAGGGCCCAGGTGTGCGCCCCCATGGCCTCGGCCCACCTGTGAGCTCCATGTGCTCCTCCTCCTCTGTGCTGTTCAGCGCCATCTGCAGCAGCTCAGCAGTGCAGATGAGCAGGTCGTGTTTTCGGGCTGTGTGGCCAAAGCCTGCTCGTGCTCCCATGTCCCCACTCAAGGTTGTCATGGCCCAGCGTCCACCCAGCACGAGGCTGAACTCCTCAGCGTGCTGGGTCACCAGGTGCACCTACGGGTGCAGACAAGGTGGGGAGAGGATGCTGGATGGGGGGCAGGAAGCAGGGGAGGGGTGCGGTGGCCCCTACCTCCTGGCTGGTCCTAGATTGGGGTGGAAGCTCTGAGGGTTGGGGCCACAGCAGCTGTGGTGTCCTAGAGAGGACCAAGGTGCCTGCGTACTGAGCCACTCACCCTGTTGACCAGAACCACCACCTTGGCTCCGTCCACGGTCTCCAGGTGCCTCTTGGCCACATAGGCGGCCGCCCGTGTCTTGCCAGCACCCGTGGGCAGCCAGATGATGATGTTTTTGCCCTCCAGGGCAGGCATGATCACCTCCCACTGGTAGGGTCGCAGCTCCATGGCCTCAGGCCAGCCCCAGCCCGTGCCCACCCAGTAGGTACAGAAACCGGCTTCCCCTGGACTCAGCCACCTGAGGAAGCTGGCAAGCTTCCCGGATCCACCTGCAACCTGCTGGCTGACCAGAAGCAGAAGCAACAGAGCCTGCACACTGGAAGCCACAGAGCTCTGTAAGTACAGCCAGCTGGGGCTGGGAACAGGAAACTGAAACCAAGGGGTGGAGCCAGCTGGCCTGGAGCTGGAGCCTGAGCATGCGCAACTGGGGCAGCCCCTGCAGAGGGGCAGTCCGTGCTGCAGAGCAGAGCAAAACTAGATGGGCAGGGCCTTGCCAGGGGCTGCAGGCACTGTGTCCACGTCAGGCTGAGGTTGCAGCAGCGGAGGGTTTGACATTGCTGGCCCTGGCATCTGGACGGGGACAACAAGGACCACAGCCTGGCAGATGCCGCCATCTCTGGCAGAAGCAGGGACTGGCATCCCTTGCTCCTGGTGTGCAGGGGCCAGGGCAGCAAGACAGAATTACACAGGAGAAAAAAACCACAGAGCTTTATTGTTCCCTGGAAGGGGTTAACAAGTGGTTCCCATGCCCCCAGCCTGGGGGACAGACCACAGGACAGTGCAGGGCAAGCCACAGCCCCCCAGCAGGACTTGGCTCGGACTGCTAAAGTCACCTGTGGAGGTGACATGGAGCAGTCCTGGCCCTCAGGGGCAGAGCCACCAGGCCAGGTCAGGCCCAGGCCCAGGCCAGGCCCCATGGCTGAGGGATTGTGGCCACCAGGGCCGGCAGAACCCGAGCTCCAGCCCGGTGCCGGCTACTTGTCGATGAGCCCACCCTCCTTGAGCTTGAAGTAGAAAAACTTCTCCAGGGCGCTGGCACAGCGGCAGTACTCGCTGTCTGGTGGGTTGTACTCGCGGCAGTTGGCGATGACCCGCTGCAGGTCGGCCACAAAGAGCTTTCGGGTCACGTAGTAGCGGCTGCGTAGCCGCTCGCTCATGGTCCTCAGGTCAATGGGGAAGCGGATGACCTCGTAGTAGTCAGGGGCCTCGGACTTCTTTACAGGCTCCATGAAGGGCCAGGCGCTGGGATGTGACTGGAGAGAGCAGGAGCTGGGGTGGAGCTGCCCCAGCCATGTCCCGCCCACCTGGGAAGGGGACCCAAAGCTCAGCTGGGGTGCAGGAAGCCCCAGGGGGCGCCCGGTCTCCCCACCTTGATCTGGGCCAGCAGGTTTTTGAGGGTCGTGTACAACTGGTCAGGGTCCTTGAGCTCCTTGCTGGGGTGAGAAGCCAGGTCTCAGGTGGTATGTCCCTGAACCCCTAAAACCCCAGCACTGCCCCTTTGCAGCTCACTTACCCCTTCTCCTTCCCCAGCGGCTTCCAGCCAGTCTCTCCTGGAAAGGGAGCGGCACAGCAACCCTAAGCCCACCTGTCTATGCAGCAAGCAGGGACCCCACCCACCCCGATGAGAACCCCGCTCACGGATGCCAGGGACGCTCTCCACGGGGATTTGCCGCACGCCCTCCTTGAAGCAGCTGAGCCCAGGGTAGACCTTGCGGATCTGGGCCTGTTTACGCTCAATCAGCTTCTTGATGATCTGAGGGGGAAGGTAATGAGACCCTGCTCACCCAGGGGAAAAGCCAGGGCACCTGGCTTCCCTCCCCGGTCTGTGGAGTGGGGCACATCGCACCACACCTCCTTCTGCTTCTTGATGATGTGCGACAGCTCCGTGTAGGGGATCCGGGGGTTCAGCTCGCACTCCATCAGCGTCGCCCCCTCATAGTCCTTGATGTAGCCCAGGTAGCGGCTCTTGGGGACCTTGATGTCCTTGGAGAAGCCCTGGAGTGTGCAGCAGGGCTCCATCCTTCAGCATGCACACCCCTCCCCCACGTCTGGGGGTTACAGGGACCCCATGTGTCTCAGCTGGGCAGCAGCAGCCCAGGAGGCCGGACTCACCTGCTTCTTGAAGTAACCGATGGCATACTCATCGGCGTAGGTGAGGAAGTAGAGGATGCCGTGCTTGATGTGGTACTCCTTCAGGTGGTTCATGAGGTGCGTGCCGTAGCCCTGCGGGGAGTGGGCGTGGTGCAGTGGGCAGGCTGACCCGGAGACCTGTGTCCTGCACACATTGGGGCCACACAGAGCTGGGCCACCTGCTTGGGACACTAAAGGGCCCTCCTGCTGTTCTGTGGGGCAGGAGTGCAGGGCTTTGTGCCGATGAGTGCCCTACTGCAGCAGGTGCACCATGATCAAGTGGGGGTTCAGTCCTGCTGTCAGGGGTGCAGCCTGGGGCAGGGAGATGGCCCAGCACTGAAGGAAAAAATAAATGAGCTCTCCTAACTCTTGAGCTCCGTTTCCCAATAAGCAAGTTCCTTATCTTTTTCCCAGTGCTGAGGCCTGAACCCTCGGCTCTTGCACAGAGCTCCACCCCTCCCGTTTATTTCCAGACAAAATCTCATGAAGCTTCGACATCACCCAGGCCGGGCTTGAACTTGGGATCTTCCTGCCTCAGCCTCCCAAAGCACTGGGACTATAACAAGCACTGGCCACTACAGGGGACAGACTGAGCCTGCTGCAGACCTGGCCTGTGGTGGCCACAATCGGGCTCACCTTGACCTGCTCGTTGGAGGTGACAGCACAGAAGACGATTTCAGTGAAGCCCTGGGTGGGGAACATTCGAAAGCAGATGCCACCGATGACGCGCCCGTCCTTGATCAGTGCCAGCGTCTTGTGCTTCCTAGGAGAGGGAGGTGCATCACAGCCAAGCCTGTCACCCCAGGGAGGCTCAAAAGGCCATGCTGTGGTCAGGGAAGAGGGAGGGAGGGAGGAAATGGGTGGGGTGGGGAAGGGGACGCACGGGTCGAAGACCAGGCGGGCAATGTACTCCTTAGGCATGCGCGGCAGCTGGTGCGAGAACACGTTCTGCAGCCCCACCAGCCACAGCAGCACCCGCCGGTTGGCCTTGGGTGCCAGTGAGTTGCCGATGACATGGAACTCGATGATGCCCCGCCGCTCCTCCAGGCGGGCTGTCTCGTCTCGTGCTGCGTTGGCCGACAGTAGGCTGGTCTGGGGGAGGGGAGGGCCGTGAGTGAGGGCAGGGCTGAGGCCCAGCCCTGTGTGGTCAGCAGGTCGGCTGCCCACCTCGGGGCCCAGCATGGCAGCAGGGTCAGTGATGGTCAGCATGACCTCGTTGACCAGCTCCATGGGGATGTCGCCCATCACACGCAGCCTCTTGGCATCCTCCAGGGTCAGGTTCTCTGGCAGCTTCCTCTTTTCCCCTGCAGGAGGGTGGCAAGGTCACCGACGAAAAGCAGAGCCAAAGGCAAGCAGGTTGGAGGTCAGGGGTCGGAGGTCAGGGCTCAAGTGCCCACCTGGCATGGGCTCAGCTCCTGCCGCATCCAGACTCAGGGAGGTGTTGTTGCCCCCTCCCATGGTGGGGCTGAAGATCGGGGTGCTGGGAACTACTGCGGCGCTGACCGTGGCTGAGGAACAGACAGAGTCAAGGACAGGGACAGGAAGGTGATCCGGGCCCTCTTGGCTCCAGCACAGCCCCCAGCACGCCCCCAGCCTGTAGTGCCACCCACCTGGCCTAGGCACCAGCTGAGTCCCCTCCGAGGGTGGCATGGTGAAGCCCGACTCCCAGATGGGTGAGTTTGCCCCATAGATCTCCTCCTCCAGCATGGACAGGAACCTGGGGGCAGCACGGATGGTCCTACCACCCCATTGTGCAACCAGAGGGGCCCTTAGGGGCCCAAGGTCACTGGCTACAGCCTTCTTTTGGGGATTGGGAGGCTGAGACAGGAGACAGTGTTGCCCTTGAGAAGCCTTCTAACTGCACACTCACTGGAGGCAAGGAACTGCCCAGGAGGACCAGCAGAGCACCGGAGCAGAAGGCCCTGCTCAATGTCACCTTTCTATTCCCTGGGCTTGGTGGGAATGTTGTCACCTTGAATGTAAACTCTGGTTTTGGGGTGCTGGAAGCCAAGGGGCGGCAGCCAGAATGTGAAATAGGGTGGCAAACTCTCAGCGGGCAGCATCGAGCCTTACTTGGGGAAGTGGGTGAGGATGAGGGTCCTTTTCTCAGGTACCAGTTTGTCCTTTTCCACTCGGAACTTTTCCAGCAGCTGCCGGCGGGTGACAGTGAAGATGGAGCGCAGCAGGCTGCGCCCGAAGACGTGGGTGGTCTCGTAACGAGGGAGGCTGTCACAGCTCTGGGGCACATGGCAGTAACAGAGCCACCTGGTATAGTTGACCTTGTAGGTGGCCACATCCTCTGACTGAGACCTCTGCCGGAACTGGGCGGGCGTCTCCAGCTTCCAGTAGTTGAGACACAGTAGGAACATCTTCGAGAGCTCAAACATGGTCTGGCGCTCCCGGGGAGCCAGGTGGCTGAACTTGTACTGCACAAAGTTGAGCACACCCTGAACAGGGGACAAACCAGAAGGGTGCTGAGTGGGTAACCAGGAGGAGGTGGACCCAGGTCATGATAGGAGATCCCCCACTGCTCCATGCCACCTCCAGCTTCTCCTTCCCTGTCCCACCTGCTCAATGTTAGGCTTCTCAAATGGGGGGCTGCCCAGGGAACCTTCCACCACGGGCCGGGTCATCTGCAAGATGCATTTCCGCAGGAGCTGGAAGACAGGGACAGCAGAGCTACAGAAACCCCCAACACCGGACCAAATGCACCCCTTCACTCCCACATCCACCCCAGAAGCTCACCTTGAAGAGGTAGAAATACACCTGCTTGGTGTCCGTGTCCTCCTCCTTGTGTACCGACATGAACAGGTTCTCTACGTCCACCACCATGCCCAGCAGCCGGTTGATCTCGTCCTCCGACACGTTCTCCAGGTGAGACACGTGGTCAGCTGCCGTGGGGTCAGGGGCGGGGTTGGGAAAGCCGGAGAGACCTCCAAAGGGCTGCCTGCGCCCCCGACCACCTGGGTTTCCCAGGAGCCCAGGCCCTGCCCGCGCCTACCCAGAGGATGCTCGCAGCTGCGGCACAGCTCGCCCAGGTTGGCGGCCGGCTGGTGCAGGTCCATGCGGGGCGCGGTGGGTGGCTTGGGGTTCTTCCAGCCATTGCACTTGCAGGTCTCGTTGGCCTGGGTGCGGGACGGGGAGTCATGGCAGTGCACCCCAGGCCAGCGCCTGCACCCCGCGCCCACGCGCTCCCATCGCCCACCTTGCAGGCTGAGAAGACGCCCAGCTTCTCCAGTTTCTTGGCGCGCGGCAGACCGCGGACCTGCGCCTTGCGCTGGCTGGCGCGCTGCTGCTGGCTGAGCCCGGGCCGCGCAGGGTCCCCGCCGCCCCCCGGAGCCCCAGGCCCCGCGCTCCCGGCAGGGGCTGCAGTCGCGGCGGGCGCGGGAAGCGGCGCGGGCGCAGAAGCGAGGCCCGGTGCGGGCGGCGCGGGCCCCGGGGGCGGCGGGGGGCGGGGCTGTGCGGCTGGAGCGGGGGCCGGGGCCGGGTCCGCCATGGCCGCCCGCAGCCCGGCGCGGCGCTCAGCCTAGGGCCGCATGGGCGCGGGCGCAGTACGCAAGCGCCGCGCGGCGCACGCTGGGAGTCGCAGTCTTCCGCCCGGAGTTCCAGACGGTTCCGCCCGGCAAGGTCCGGGCAGGTGTGCAGTTCCTCGCTACTGAGCCTTTTTTCTCTCTGTTTTTCATTACTGAAGATTGAATCCAGAGCCTTTCCATCGAGCTGCATCCTTTTTTTTTTTTTTTTTTTTTTTTTTGAGACAAGGTCTCGCTAAATTGCTAAATTAGCCAGGCCGGGCTCTAACGCGAGATCCACCTGACTCAGCCTCCCCGGAGTGCTGGAATGATACACCTGCGCCACCGCGCCGACCACTTCTCATCTTTCTTGATGTTGGCTGGGATATTCATGATTGCTGAAAGCATCTTTAAACTTAGACCCTGAAGGGGGTTCTCTATCCAAGCTCAAGGGCTGAGGCACAGGGCTTGAGTTGCCTTCTTTGATCTGTCCCACCCATTTGCCCCACAAAGGTCCTAGCCTTTCGAGGCTGGGGACACGGAGCTGTCTCTGCGCTTGAATAAAAAAAAAAAAAATTTTTTTTTTTTTTTTTGGTATTGGGAATTGAACTCAGAACCCGCACTTGGCCAAGCAGGTGCTGTGCCACTGAGCTAACATCCCTGGTCCTGCGGTTGAAATTTAAATGCAGCATACCTGGGCGCGGTGGCGCTCGCCTGTTAGCCTAGCGCCCTGGGAGGCTGAGGCAGGAAGATCTCCAAACTTAAGCCCAGCGCTGACAACTTAGTGACTTAGGGAGTTTCAAAATAAAAAAAGAAAGGACTGTAGTTCGATCCCCAGTACGAGAGAAGAACTGTGGCAAACAGCACTCCATTCCTTGCTGGTGACTCAGTGTGCTGGTTTCTGGACATGAGCCACCCCCGATTGCGCTCCTCCTGTACACAAGGTAAACGCAACAGTTTTATTATCCTCGCACTGAGGCGAGGAGAGCCGCAGCCGCGACTGGCGCCAAGTGGGCGAAACCGAGGCTGCAGGCATTCCGGAGCTCTCGGATCTGGACCTGAGCAGGTTGACGTCCTCCCTTCCAGGTCCCGCACGCATAAGCTCTGCGGGTGACAGCGTCAGGGCTGGAACCTGAGCGTCGCATCATCCTGTCCCGCCCTCGCCTCTGCGCAGGTGGGCGGGGCCTTAGGCCCCGCCCCTGACGCCGGCAAAGTTCCAGTCTGGCGCACCTGCACCTCTCTTCCTGCCACCTATCTCGCGCACCTGTCGCCTAACCTCCCGCCCACGGTTGCGCCCTTCGATGCGGCGCGTCGAGGGCAGCGTTTCCAACGACCGTGGGGTGGCGTCCCCAGGCCCCAGCAAGGCGCTGGCACAGCCAGAGCGGGGGGCCACGCTGCCCGTGAGGCTGCTGAGGGATACCCCTTTGGCTGTGCGGGACACTGGCCATAGCCAGGACTTCCAGATGAAGATGGACGCGCGAGGATTCACCCCGGAGGACCTGCAGGTGCGGATGGATGGGCAGAGCCTGGTAGTGACCGGCCAGCGGCAAGAGGAGGGCCGCGACCCCCACGGGGGCAGCTACAGCTTGACGCAGAAGGTGTTCCGGCAGATGCAGCTCCCCGGGGACCTGGACCCTGCCACCACCACCTGCTCCCTGACCCCCTCCGGCCAACTGTGGGTGCAAGGCCCGTACAGACCGCCACCTCTGCCTGCATCCCTGGTGGGCCCGTCCCAGAGCCTGTCACACCAGGGCTCTCAGAAAGGCCCCAGCCCCACCTGAGCCAGTAAACAACGACGACGCACAGCAGCCCGTGTCCACTGTTTTCTGGGGCCCCAAAGGCAGAGGGGCTGGAGCCTGCGGTACACACCTTAATCCATCCTCTGGAGAGGCTGAGGCAGGAGGATCACTGCTTCAGGCCCAACTGGATCAACTTAGACCATCTCAGAATCAACAGTAACAAAGGATGGGAAGGGGGCTCACTGCTGTGTCAGAGTGCTGGGTTAAAGTCCTAATGTTACCTCCATAGAAGAGGGTAGAGGGAGGCAAAAAAGGCACCCAAAAGTCAGGGGAGCCCAGGATTAGAAACCAGGATGGGGGTGTGGCCTTTGCAGCCTGCACTGGCTCCAGCAGGGAGCTGCAGAGTGGAAAGGACCCACTTGTCACCTGACCCAGAGGCAAGGTGACAGGAGGGAAGGAGCGCCAAGGAAATGGAGGGCAGTGGCTTTGGACTTGTGACCGAGCCAACATCCCAGGAGAGGTGGGCAGTTTCCTTTCACTTCTAGGGAGACCTGGTACAGATCAACTGGCTCCATGGGTGTGGTAGACCATACCTGCAATCCCTGCAACTCAGGAGGCTGAGGCAGGAGGATCACTTTGTCTGAAGCCAACCTGAGCTACAGAGGGAAAGCCTACCTAAAAAGTGTAAAATCCCAAAAAACAAACCCATGGAGATCATGTTGTCTTAAGAGTCCAATGTCTACACACCACACCCACCAGTATAAGCTGTTGGGCCAGGGTGGGTAGGGGGCAGCAGTGAGCCCTGACTTCTGGTGTGGCTGGCCCCAGACCAGTGCCCGGCAGGGCTGCAACTTCAGTCTTGTTTCCCAGTTACCATGACTACCAGCATCCCAGGGCAAGGGGTTTTAGATTAGCATCAGGTGACCAAGAGCGGCTGAGGTGTGTCGGACTCTGCCACAGAAAGACAGAAGACGAGGGTTAGGTCCATCGATCAGCTGACTATATTGACAAGATACTGATTGGTTACATGTTGAAGAAACATACAATACAAAATACAGAAAAAGTTGGTTCTGTCCCTTCCCATGCCCCCTACCCCCCAATACTCATCATCGTGATTTGGTCAGAACAGGGCTCAGAGCAGAGGTCGGGTTGACCGAGGGGGGCATCTGGGCCATGGGTGTGTGGCTGTCACAAGGACGCTGCAGTAATGCTGTGGTCCCCTCCTGCCCAGAGCTGGCTGGCAGCAGGGTAGCAGAGGAGGGCCAGCCACAGGGAGTAGGTCCCTTCCAGGGCCCACCGTCCTGGGTGAGGCCACTCCTGACAAGGTGAGGACACAGGTGCCCCAAATCTGCCCTTCAGCAAGAAGGCACAGAGGGGTCACCTTTGGCTGTATCCCCAAGGCGGGGACAAGAGCTTGGCCATCCCTGCAAAGGACCAGCGGCAGAGTGGTGGAGGGGGCGGTGGGAAGAGAAGAGATCATATATATATTAAAAAAGTGACTTAAGACTTAAAATTGAATTAGTATTTGTACAGAAGGTGCAGGTGGAACATTGCCCCAGCCCAGGATCAGAGTCAGAGGAGGGTCCCGAGCCTCCTGCCCGCAGCCAGCAGCGGCCTAAGTGCAGTGGGCGGCATGGGTTCCGGCAGTTGTGTTGGTCTGAGGGCAGCGCTCAGTTGCTGCAGCACTGGCCCCGGCTGGCTGGGCTGCTCTCCTGCAGGTCAACACCTCGGTTCCGGCCTGGCGCACCTGCTACGTTCTGGGGCTCATTCTTGGGCAGCTTCTTGGCTGTGGGGGAGGGACAGGCGTCTGTGGGCTTCTCCCATGGGCAGAGTAGGCCATCACCACCCTGCCTGGGACCACAAGGTACAGCAGTAGGGTCAGAACAGAGTGAGAAGCTGGTAAGTAGGGGCAGGGAAGCCAGGGCATGAGGGCTGACTGGTCTGGCTTGGTGCACTGCTCTGCACCTGGCTCAGACATGGGGACTGCCGGGCCCCTGGCACTGAGGCCCAAGGAGCCCAGGCGGGCCGTGCTGCTCACCGATGGCCATGAAGACCTCGTTGACGTTCATGGCAGTCTTGGCAGATGTCTCCATGAACAGCAGGCTGTTGTCCTCAGCGTAGGCCTGGGCATCCTGGCAGAGGGCACAGGTGCTGTGTTGGGGCTGAACCCAGGACCAAACGTTCCCAGCATGCAAACCTGGGCCTCCTCTTGGCCTGCCTGGGCCCGCGGGGTACCCCTGGCTTCTGGAACCGGCAGAGGAGGTCCCCATACCCCTTTGCATCCCTGAGAATATTGGGGAAGCCAGCCTCACAGTGCTGAGCAAGGTTCAGTCCCCTCTCGGGTCCCGGACAGGCAGTGGGTGATGCCGTGCCATGGTGCGTGGGGCATGTGTCCGTCCAGGGACAGAGAAGGACCCATGGAGGCGGCGTAGGGCCAAGGCCTCCCTGCCACCCACAAGCCAGGGAGACGGGCCATGGGCCCAGGCCCACCTGGAACTCCACGGCCCGCTTGCTGGCCAGGTCGGCCTTGTTCCCCGCCAGCGCTATGACGATGTTGGGGCTGGCCTGCCGCTGCAGCTCCTTCACCCAGTTCTTGGCCCGCAAGAAAGTGTCCTGGGGGAACAGGGCTGGGATCAGGGGTAGCAGGGGCCTCACCTGGAGCTGGACAGCCATTCCCGGCAGGCAGGAGACCCCGCCACTGTAGGCCCAGGAGGAGGGCAGGGAGGGTGCCACCGCACCGTACCGTGTTGGTGATGTCGTAGACCACGATGGCTGCCTGTGCGCCGCGGTAGTACATGGGCGCCAGGCTGTGGTACCGCTCCTGGCCAGCTGTGTCCCAGATCTCAAACTTGACCGTTGTGTCGTCCAGGCAGACCGTCTGTGTGAGGAAGGCCGCTGCGCAGAGGCGGGGCCATGGGCACGCTCGAGTCAGGGCTTCAGGTAGGGAGACTGAGGCAGGTCCCGCTCCTCTGCCACAGTGAGCAGCCTCGGGGGCCCCCGGCCCTTGGCGCTCCTGACCTTCATGTCCTAGGGGCACTGCCCCAGGCTCCAGATCCTCGATGGCCACGCCTGTCCCCAGCTCTGGTCCAGCCCAGCCTGTGTGGTCACCTTGAGCTCTGACCCTCAGGGCCATGGGGACTGTGCCCGAGCTGGGAGCATGGGGCACAAGGCCAGTGTGCTAGGGAGGTCTGGAGCTGTGACAGACAGCTGGGGTGCCTTCTGCCTCACCCGAAGCTCGCCTGAGCAGTCTGCGCTGCTTGGTCCCCCCACTCAGGTCATCACCCCACTTCCTGTGTCCAGCTACCGACTGGGCAGATGTGGAGGAAGCAGGACAGCTGACGTGAAGGAAGCAGGAGGTCAGCTGACTCGAATCCCAGGCTGGTCCTAGTCCTGCCTCCACCTCAGTGCTGACCAGCAGGAGCCCAGCAGTATGCTCAGAGCTCCCAAGCTGCAGAGATGCCAGCCATCATAGCTGCCTCCCAGTCTCCAGCTGCATCCTTGGCCACTCACCTCCAATGGTGCTCTCCTGGTACTCGTGGAACTGGCCCTTGACAAAGCGGAGCACGAGGCTGGACTTGCCCACTGCCGACTCCCCCAGCAGGACCAGCTTGAACTGGCAGATCTTGTTCCCCGAGGCTGGTCCGTTGGGGCGAGCTGCGCCTCCCCGACCCGCCATGGCCTGTGCTGCTGACTGTCGTGGTCCCTGGGAGCGTGGGGTGGGGGCTGGTGCTGCGGTGCTGCGCAGAGAGGCACTTGGTGGGAAGGGGGCTTCCAACTGCAGGGACAAGGGGATGGGTGAGCCTTACCGAGTCAGACGTGGTGGTGCACTCAGGGAGGCTGAGGCAGGAGGATCGAGTTTGAGACTACACAATGAGACCTCATCTCAAAAAATAATAAAGCATTAGGACTTAGGGCAACAGCCCTTAACCTGCAGTGTGGCCCCAGTGCTGCAGCCTGTGCCGCGCGGGGCCAGAGCCCATGGAGGCAGCCTCTCAAGTGGGAGCCAGGATCCGGCTGGCTAAGCTACCGGTCCCAGCCTCCTCCCCAGCCAGGGGCACAAACTGGACACACACTGAGCACCAGTGCACATGCGTACCCCAACCCAGGCTCCCTGAGGAGCAGCGGGCTGGCCCCCAGCTCTTCTGGTCCCTCAGAGCTGGGAGAGTTGGAGAATAAGAGGAAGTCGGGGCAGAGACCTGCGCCCCAGAGGCTAGGGGACTCAGCCCTGCTTTACAAACTGGAGCTCGGGCAGCCAGAGATCCAGGAGACAAGGCTTCAGAGGGGACCCTGGGAAGGCCGGAGCCGCTGCAGCAAGGGGTGTGCAGCCCTGTGGCTGGACAGGGCATGAGGAGGAGGGCACCTTGCTCTCCACAGGCCAGCGTCTGGTGTCCAGGCCGGGCTCCCACGGCCGCTGCCCAGCATGCATCAGGAAGCGTGAGTCACTTGCCAGGAACTAGTGTTTCCTCCCCAGGCAGCCCTGGAGCACAGGGCCCTGAAATGGGGGCCGCCCAGCCCCGAAGTACAAGGAAGGAAGTGGGGGGGTTTCACTATGTCAGGGAAGACACTGTCCTCTCTGCGTGCTTACCAGGCTTCCTCTTATACCCTGTGTTCTAGGAACTCGCAGTGCTGACCCAAGGGAGTGGCTCTCAACTCAGCGGGTGTTTGCTGAGTGACTGTACAACCATTATCTCCAAGACATAAGCAGCGCGCCAGTTTTAGACAAGCAAAGGACACTCAGTATGTGAATGGGAGTGGGTAGCACCTAATGCCTCCTGCATGGCAGGGACCCTGGGTTCCCCAGTGATGGATGCCCACGGATAATGGTGGCCCCCCACAATGTCTGAGAAGTGGAAGCGAGTAGCAGTGACACCAATATTCACAAAACCTTCTAGGATCCCGGGGGAGGCTGCCCTCCCGGGCCTGAGGGTGAGCACCAAGGAAGGGGCTCCAGAGCCCCAGACAGGGCGAGGCACCGAGGACACCCCCAGGATGGCAGCTGGAGGCTGAGGTTCTGACATGACCACCAACAGTTGAGTGGCTTGAAGATGGCACACAAGTAACCTTGGAGTCTGAGGTCAAATTCCCTTCCAGGACAGCCTAGGACAGGCGGCGACAGCACTCCTGCCCCCAATCAGAGCCCCATTCCTGCCCACAGAAGGGAGAGAGACCACGAGGACATGGGGTGCCCTGCTCTGTGTGTCCCCCAATGCACAGCAGAGGGCAGATGATGTGCTGGACAGTCGGGGCCCAGTGGGAGGCCAGGGAGACAGCAGGCCCTACACCTCCAGGGTTGGCGACACTGCGGCCCTGTGCGTGAGGAAACAACCTGACTCCCAGAAGTGAGTCTCTGGGGTGTGACCCAAAACCCCATATCATTAACACAGGTTCCTGAGTGGTTCTCGGGGCCAACTCGGGCTGTGGGTGACCTGGGGGTCCCAGAGAGCTAGGAACCAGGGCAGCAGGGATGACCTGTGGATCATTCTGACTGGTGCTGCCACAGTGTCCTGTCCCCGACAGCCAGCCCCGGGGACATTGCCACTTCCTGTCCCTCCTGGTGAGCAGGTACAGGTCAGGCTGCCTGCATCTCTTATGCTTCCTGTTTGCTGCAGACACATGTGCAGACCGCCACCAGGGCAGTATGGGCCACTGACCAGGCCGGTGGGGTGGGCAGGTGGGGCCAGGTGGTTCTGGCTAGTCTTGGGGGAGGGGCAGCCCCCGGGCCCATAGGAGAGGCTGGGGTCATGGCAGGGAGTGACCAGGTTCAAAGGTCAAGCTGGGGGAGCTGCACAGCACGTCAGTGGGGCAGGGCCTTGCAGAGGACACCTGGGCCCCTGTTCTGTGGGGAGGAGGGGGCCTCAAGGCAGCATAGCCTGGCTTTAGATTGGTCACAGCCACAGGAAGGGCACAGCTAAGGCCCTGCGGTCCCCAGCGTCCAGTGTGACCGGGCAGCTGGGACACAGGAGGCTCCGCCATCGGCTGTGACCTCAGCCAGTCACCCAGTCATGCTCTGATGCTATCACTAGCACTAGGCTCCTTATCTGCACACTGGAATTCTGGCACTAATTGCCCTGGGTGGCCACAGAGGCAGGAGGACAGCTTGTGCACTGGGGTCAGGCCTGGGCTTCCAGGATAAGGCCGGTAGCAGCCAGGGCCCAGCCCTGCCCGGCCAGGTACAGCAGAAACATGGGTCCGATAGCTACTGGCCAGGGTCCAGGGCAGGGGCAGCCCTGCACCAGGAGGACTCGGGTGGATATGGAGACCGGAGCTCAGGAGCGGCAAAATCGCCAGCTCAGCCGCTAATGGCAGGGACATGGCCCCATGGCTCTCGGCGCAGGAACAGAGCTTTCAGTGTCTACCAGGCCCGCAGCCCTGCTTCGGGGAAGCTGCGCCCACCGGCCAGGGACGCAATGCCCCTGTGTGAAACTCCACCGCCTGACTGTGCACAGCCCCAGGAGCACACACACCAGCAGTGATGGGGTCTGGAGCGGGCAGGGGCGTTAACTCCTGCACTCAGGATGACAGGAAACCCGCCCAGCTCGCCTGCCTTTAGACTTCCTGCTCCATCCTCGCTGACCTGGAAATGCAGAATGCGTTCAACGACAACCATGAGATGGGCACAGTGCTGGCACCAGGGAGGCCCTGGGTTTGCAAAAACTAAAAAGGCCTCGCTGTAGTGGCACAGGCGGGAAGCTCTGGAATGCGAACAGGGATGCAGCACTGTGGGCCTGCAGCTCACACCCAGGGCTTGGGTTGGCTCTGGCATCCAGAGGTTGTGGGGGGGGGGGCCTGTACTCCCTGCCACTCTCGACTGCCACAGTGAGCAAAGGGCTGGGACCAGGGCAAGGTATCCTCCTGTGCCAGGGCCACCGGAGTGAGAGCACAGGGTGCTTGACAGCTGGGCTGAGGTCCAGGAAGGTTCCTCACCCCACCAGTAGGCAGGGAGGTAACAGGAGCTGGCAGCAGAGGGGAGGACGCTGCCCATCAGTGGCCCCAGAAGGTGACTGCTTGGGGACAGATCACATCCCAGCACACCCTGCCCCTTTCAGGGCCAAGGACGGGGAGCTGTACCTGCAAAGCCCCGGCCTGGCCCTGGCCCCCACCAAGGCCCGTTAACGGGCACCAAGGCGTGCTGGCCTGGGACACACTGCCAAGTGCCCGGGCATCTCCCAGAACAGTACGGCCAGTTCCTGTGGCCCTTTCCCTTGGGCAGGGGCCCAGTGGTGCTAAAGGGAAGCTGCCCTTCTGGGACAGGCCCTGCAGAAGCTCAGGAGCCCCAAGCTCTCCACGGCCCATAGGATACAGCCTGCTTTCAACTAAGACCAAACCTCAAGCCTCCTGCCTCAGCCTCCTGAGTGTCAGTGTGCAACCACAGGTCTGGCTTTGCCAAGGGGTTCTGGGAGGCCCCTGAATCCTGAGATGGTTTCCAACACTGCACCCATTGCAGGCTTGGCTGCAGCACTCTCTGTGGCCCAAGCCCCCATGAACACTGTCCAGACGGGGTGCGGGGACAGGTTGCAGCTGTGGCTCACACTACAGTGACATCCCCAGGCCTCCCGGCCTTCCCTGGGCAGTGACTGCTGCTCAGGACGCCACTGACTGTACCTCGCCTGGCCCAGGAGAGGCCCTGCTGGGCGAGGACAGTGGCAGCTCCATGCTGCCCAAAGTCAGGCCTCTGGAGCTGACACCACAGGCACAGCCGACTGCCCTCAGTGCCCGTGGCCAGCCGGCCCTGCAGCACCATGCCAGGCCATGTCCAAGACAGGAAGAGGGGATGAGGCTAATGGCAGTAGCGGTGGTGGCGGTGAGGGCAGCAGCCACGGCCCAGTCCCCTGAGCACAGCAGCAAGGCCTGGGCGGGAGAGGTTTCCAATGCCCCAGCAGCAGCGTGGATGCCCAAGGATGTCCTTTAGGGTGGCCTTCCTTTCTTCACTTTTGCTGAATGACACCTAGGACAGTACAGCTGAGGGACTCAGGGGACTTGGGGTCAGAACCCTGATGGCCAAGTCACACTTTCTGCATGGCGCCCCTTCTCAGAGACTGCTGTAGGGAGAGACCTTGAGAGCTCAGGGTTGAGAAGACCAGAACCTGGAGGCATTGCTGCCACTGCCACTGTCTGATGACAAGGACCACTGTGCAACCCAAGGCTGGTAGGGCCCCTCTGTCATCACTGCACTTTGCACTGGGTATGCTCTCGGGTATGGGGAGCACAGCAGGCCTGGGGAGGTCTGTCCCTAGGTGGCCCTGTCCCAACGGCCACACAGCTCCAGTCCAGCCCTGCAGCCCTGCTACCAGGGTGCTGTGCCCCTCCCTGAAACACCTCCTGCTTCCCAAGGGGGATGGCACCCGCACCTGGGCACTGGATGATGGCAGAGTGGGCCCTCAGGAAGGACCAGTCCCATGGCACTTGGGTTGCTGGTGCCTCGGGAGCCCCTGGAGGCCACAGGTCTGCATGCCCCACTCCTGCTGTCTCTACCCCTCCCCCAGGCCCCACCTGGAGGGACTGCTGAGCGGGGCCCCTCCCCAGTGAACCCTCAAGCACCCCCACCTCGAGCTCCTAGGATTGGAATGGGATGGATAAGCTCGTTCAGAAATGGGAAGAGACCCAAGTTTGCTGCAGAGGGGGAGGGGCCACCAGTTCCTTCTGAACCCAGCTGAAGAAGGCCAGGCTGGACATCGGGTGGCACCAGCACTGCAGTAGCTCAGAAAGCAACCTGATGACCAGGAGGGCAGCCACAGTGACCGGGCCTCCGGAGCCCCCTCCATGCCACCTGACAGG